GTCATTTTTCTCCATGTTACTCGATCTCTTTTTTTATTTGGTCGTAGATCCACTGATTCTTTAGAAGCATGTTGAGCATCCATGTTTTTGTTAGTGGTACAACAAACATATGGATGCATATGTCTTTTTGAATCTGAGAAATTGTATTCTTTGGATAAATTCCTAGGAGTGGAATTCCTTGGTGAAATGGTATTTCTACTTTTAGTTTTTTGAGGAACCTCCATATTGCTTTCTAGAAGGTTGAATGAGTTTACATCCCCAATAACAGTGTGGGAGGGTTCCCCTTTCTCTGCATCCTTGCCAGCATTTGTTGTTCTTAGTCTATTGGATGTTGGCCATCCTAACTGGCGTGAGGTGGTATCTCATTGTGATTTTAATTTGCATTTCCCTGATAATTAGTGGTGTGGAGCATCTTTTCATATGCCTGTTAGCCATCTGAATTTCTTTGGAGAACTGTCTGTTCATATCCTCCACCCATTTTTTAATAGGGTTATTTGCTTTTTGGGTGTTGAAGCATGGGAGTTTTTTAAATGTATTTTGGATGTTACCCCCTTATCAGGTATGTCATTTACAAATATATTCTCCCTTATGTAGGATACCTTTTCGTCCTGATGGTGTCACTTGCTATACAGCTTTTCAGCTTGATGTATTCCTATGTGTTCATTTTTGCTTTTGATTGCCTTGTCTGAAGAAATGCATTCAGAAAAAAGTTGCTCATGTTTATATTCGAGAGAGTTTTGCCTATTTTCTTTGAACAATTTTATGGTTTCATGACTTACATTCAGGTCTTTGATTCATTTTGTTTGCATTCTGTATGGTGTTACACAATAATCCAGTTTCATTCTCTCACATGTAGCTGTCCAGTTTTGCCAACACCAGTTGTTGGACAGGCTATTTCCCCATTGTATGTCCACGGCTCCTTTATCATATATTAATTGGCCATTTATGCTTGGATTTATATCTGGGCTTTCTATTCTGTTCCATTGATCTATGGGTCTGTTCTTGTGCCAGTACCAATTTCTCAATTACTGTGGCTTTGTAGTAGAGCTTGAAGTTGGGAGTGCAATCCCCCCAGCTTTATTTTCTTCTGAAGATTGCTTTGGCTATTCAGGGTCTTTTATGGTTCCATATGAGTTTTTTAACAATTTGCTGTAGTTTGTTGACGAATGCTGTTGGTATTTTGATAGGGATTGCACTGAATCTATAGATTGTTTTACGCAGGATGGCCAATTTGAAAACATTAATTCTTCCTTTCCATGAGCATCAAATGTATTTCCATGTATTGGTATCTTCTTTAATTTCTCTCATTAGTGTCTTGTAGTTTTCAGGGTATAGATCTTTAACTTCCTTAGTTAGGTTTATTCCTAGGTATTTTATTCTTCTTAATGCAATTGTGAATGGAATTGTTTTCCTGATTTCTTTTTCTGCTAGTTCATTGTTAGTGTATAGGAATGCCACAGATTTTTGTGTATTTATTTCTATACTGCAACTTTGCTGAATTCAGATATCTGGAGTGAAAGTTTAACTGCTTCCTTACCAATCTGGATGACTTTTATTTCTCTGTGTTATCTGACTGACATGGCTATGACCTCCAGAACTATGTTGAATAAAAGTGGGGAGAGTGGGCATCCTTGTCTTGTTCCCAATCTTAAAAGCATTCAGCTTTTCTATGATACATGTGATATTGGCTGAGGGTTTGTCATATATGGCCTTTATTACGTTAAGATATATGCCCTCTATACAAATTTTGTTTTTATCATGAATGTATGTTGAATTTTGTCAAATGCCTTTTCAGCATCTATGTAGATGATCATGTGGTTTTTGTCCTTTTTGTTGATTTGGTGTATGATGTAGATGGATTTTCTAATGTCGGACCATCCTTGCATCCCTAGAGTAAATCCTACTTGATCATGATGGATGATCTTTCTGATATATTTTTGACTTTGGCTTGCTAATATTTTGTTGAGTATTTTTGCGTGTATGTTCATCAGGAATATTGGTCTGTAATTTTTTCTTTGTGGTGTCTTTGCCTGCTTTTGGTATTACAGTAATGCTGGCTTCATAGAATTAGTTTGGAAGTGTTCCCTCCTCTTCCACGTTTTGGAAAACTTTGAGGAGGACGGGTATTATGCTTTCACTAAATGTTTGATAAAATTCAGCGGTGAACTGATCTGGTCCAGAAATTTTGTTCTTAGGTAGTTTTTTGATTACCAACTTAATTTCATTATGGGTAATGGGTCTGTTTAGATTTTCTGTTCCTTCCTGGGTCAGCCTTGGAAGGTTATATTTTTCTATAAAGTTGTCCATTTCTTCAAGGCCATCCAGTCAGAATATAATTTTTCATAGTATACTTTAATAATTTTTTGTATTTCTGTGGTGTCTTCTGATTTTTTCCTTTTCCATTTCTGATTCTGCTTATGTGTGTAGACTCCTTTTTTCTTAATAAGTCTGGCTAGGGGTTTATCTATTTTGTTTATTTTCTCAAAGGACCTGCTCCTGCTTTCATTGATTCTACTGTTTTTTCCCTGATTTTGTTTATTTCTGTTCTAATCTTTATTATATCCCTCCTTCTAGAGACTTTGGGCCTTTGTTCTTCTTTTTCCAGTTTCATTAATTGTGAGTCATATGGGATTGTTCTTTCCTGAAGTAGGCCTGTATTGCAATATACTTCCCTCTTAGCATGGTCTTCGCTGCATCCCAGATTTTTCATTGTTGAAATACTGTTGTCATTTTTCTCCATGTTACTCGATCTCTTTTTTTATTTGGTCGTAGATCCACTGATTCTTTAGAAGCATGTTGAGCATCCATGTTTTTGTGGGCTTTTTCATTTTCTTTGTGATTTATTTCTAGTATCATACCTTTGTGGTCTGAGAAGCTGGTTTATACAATTTCAATCTTTTGGAATTTACTGAGGCTCCTTTTGTGGCCTAGTATATGATCTATTCTTGAAAATGTTCCATGTGCACTTTAGAAGAATGTGTATCCTGTTGCTTTGGGGTGGAGTGTTCTACAGATATGTTAGGTCCATCTGTTCTGTGTTGTTCAGTGCCTCTATCTCATTTCCTCTCTGGTTGATCTCTTCTTGGAGTGGTGTGTTGAAGTCTCCTAAAAAGAAATGCTTTGCATTCTATTTCTCCCCTTTAAGTCTGTATTGGTTTTACATGTGTAGGTGCTCCTGTGTTGGTAGCATAAATATTTATCATGGTTATATCCTGTTGTGGGACTGACCCCCTTTGAAATTATTCTTCAAGAGAGTCTCTTGGATGTTATTTACTGCAACTATACTAAGCATTTTTGATGTGGTGGTCAGGTTTGTGGAAGAATGTGTTTTTAAATCTTATGAGTAATTTCCTTTAAGTGTGCCCATGTCCCTGTGTTAACCTGTGAATTTTTATTACCATTTAGGAGTTATGGTTTATTTTCTATAGGTTTTAGAAATAAGAAACCTGGTGGCTTGCACTTAAAACAAAGGAAGTTCAGGTTGAAATGAGCTCCTTCCAATATTTTCATGTATGCTTGGGACCAAATATTTTTTTAGTGTGCCCACGCTCCTCCTTATGAGATAGGAAAGCTAGAGGAAGGAGCTAGCCAATTACCCTTCTTCCATGTCAGAGAAGTATAAACTAAGGTAGGTCTCAATGAAAGGACCTTGTTAGGTGGATTAGTACATCTGTGGCATTTTTCAGAATGGTTACTTCTCCCCAGTGGATACTTCAAAAATGGTCCCTTTTTCTTTCCCCTGCTGGAAGCATAAGGTTTTTCTCAGATCTTCACTTAGAATATGTGAACATACTGAAGGTAAATCTCATGAAGTTGTGGTATTTACCCGCAAAATGGCCACGAGGTATTGTCTTCTGTCTAAACTGTTTGTTATTCCCAGCTGGGAGGCTGGATGGCAGGGGCTAAGTTTGCAAGGCCTGGTGCAGGGAGGTCAGGCCACATCAGCCTTTGTGTGTCCTTTCTTAGAACATTTTCTAGAGGGCTTACAGTCATTAATATATATCACACAATTCAGCTCTTTCTGAAAGACAAAGAGACTCATTCCTTTTAAGTGTAATCATGAAGGACAGGGCAGTTTCCTGGTTTTTTGTGAGGATAGAATCCTAACTACACTAAGCAGCTGGTCTGAACACATTCCACTGACCAGCCCTTTGAATATTTTCTCTTTTCCAACTCTACCAAGACCCTGAACTCTCTCATTCCCTCCTTGTCCCTTTAAAATTCCCATTACCCCTAAAAACCAATGAGGTCTACACACCAAGATATATGAATGGGCTCACACAATCATGAAGCCCACAAAGTCCCAGAACACCCCATCTGGAAGCCGGGTCTCAAGGCCTAAGTAGGGGAGCTGATGGTGGAAATCCCAGAGAACAGGAGGTCAAAGTGAAGCTCTCTGGTGGAGACCTGAGCACCAAAGGCTCAGATGTCTGAGGGCAGAAGGTGGATGTTCCAACTCCAGAAAAGAAAATTCATCCATCTTCACCTTTTTGATCATTTAGCTCACCAACTCCCTGAATCATGTCACCCACAAGGCTGAGGACAATCTCCAGTCTACTGAGACAAATACACCTCTCAGGAACAATCTCCCAGAAATTCCAAAATAATCTTACTAGGTGTCTGGGCATCTTAGTGCAGGGAACACACAAAGTTAACCCCCAGTCACTGACTCTTACACATGAACAGCCTTTTGCCTCCCAATATCCTTCTGCAGTGTTTATGGAGGTCAGCAGGGAGCAGTACCCCCTGTTAAGGTTCTCATGTCCTATACATTCAAGTGCCCATGCCATCACACCTGCCACAGCTTTGCCTCGGCTGGGGCATTACCCAGGGAATGCCTTGGGAAACAGAAGCCGAGTGCCTACTTGTGCCCACATGCCAACCTGCTCTTCTGCCAGCCAGGCAAGGAGCCATTCCCCAAATCCCTATTTTACTACCGTGTTGTCAGACAGTTCTGGGTACCACTTGTGGGACAGCTCTGCAAAGGAGAGACTGAGATGAAACTGAATAAAACAAGGTTTTTATCTGGAGACAAAATGTGTGTGAGAACGTGGGGAGGAGGTAAGGCCGGCTGAGAGGGGAGGCAACAGGAGCGTTTGGTGGGAAAGCCCTGGGATGCTGGGTAGGCTCAGGGAGGGCACATCAGCAACAGGCCTGCCCTTATCCCCAGGCTTTTGTCACTGGTTCAGAGCAGCCCATGGGAAACTTGGTCAGGCACAAGACCAGATCTGGAGGAGAGAGTCCACATTTCCCCAGGAGCCCAGGTAATTCCCTCCCCTCCCCTGGCGTCTGATTCTCAAACCTGGGCCTCTTGTCTCAGAATCTGCTATAAATATTCAGGACCAGAGACTTACCTTTCCTCGTGCATGGGGAACATCTCCAAGTTCAATCTTGGTAGCCCTGTGGATCCCCTCAGCCTGCATGGAGCATCTGTGAGGTCACGGGCTCAGCTGTAGCTTTGTTAAGCAGCAGTTACTGGATGGAAAGGGCAGACCACCAGAGGCACACTCTGAGGTGCAGATGCTCAACCATCAGTTCACTGCATCTTGACACTTCCCCTAAGGAAGCCCCTTAACAGAGAAATTGCAGTAATTGCTACTTATGTATGTGTAGTTACAGGGCTCCCACTGTTTCTCTGGAGTTTGGATGGGGATGGGGTATGTGGTGACCAGCTTTCTTCTGCATCTGTTGGCTTCTAACTAAAGCTTTGTCCACACTGTCCACATAAGTGCTTCTCTGCTGATTGAAACCTTTGTTATCCACAGGTGTGATTATGACTTATCTTTCTCACCCTGCAGGACCCACAGGCTCTTTTCTCCATGTGTGCATTGGGGCCATGGGAGGGATGACTATTAAGTAAGGCCTCGTGCATATTCCTCACACAACTGCTTCTCTCCTAAGTGTGTCTTCGCCTACTGCAGTATGACTTGTCGGTACTCTGGTGCCTGCTCTCCCGGAAAGCTGTGGGATTTTCTCCTACACTCAGTACAGACACAGATTCTCACTAGTTGTTTCCACTTGTGGGACATTGGGATGATTTTTGCGTTAAGCGTTAGATACACTCCATGTACACAACAGGCTTCTCCCTGGAGTGTACCTTCTGAAGTCTCTGATTTGATTTAAAGCTAAAACTGCCCACAATAGTCAGAAGGCTTCTTCCTAGACTGTTTCCACTGGTGGGACATCAGGGCTGATTTTTGTATAAAGCCTTGCCCACACTCCTTCATACAAAAGGCTTCTCCTCTGAGTGTGTTTTCTGATGTCTCTGGAGATTTGACTTCCACCGAAAACGTTGCCCACAATACCTACACACAAAAGGCCTCTCCCCTGAGTGTTCCGACTGGTGGGAAATGAGGGATGACTTGTGGAGAAAGCCTTGCCCACAGTCCTTGCACACAAAAGGCTTCTCGCCTGAGTGTGTCTTCAGATGTCTCTGGAGATTTGACTTCAAGCTAAAATCTCGCTCACAATATGTGCACACAAAAGGTTTCTCTCCTGAGTGTGTCTTCTGATGTCTCTGGAGATTTGACTTACACCGAAAACCTCGTCCACAATACCTACACACAAAAGGCTCCTCCCCTGAGTGTTCCCACTGGTGGGAGATCAGCGATGACTTGTGGAGAAAGCCTTGCCCACACTCCATGCACACAAAAGGTTTCTCCCCTGTGTGTGTCCTTAGGTGGGACATGAGGTTTGATTTCTGGATAAAGCCTCGCCCACACTCCTTGCACACAAATGGCTTCTCTCCTGAGTGTGTCCTCAGGTGGGAGATAAGGGATGATTTCTGGATAAAGCCTCGCCCACACTCCTTGCACACAAAAGGCTTCTCCCCTGAGTGTAGTTTCTGATGGCTCAGGAGATTTGACTTCAAGCTAAAACTTCGCCCACAATACCTGCACACAAAAGGCTTCTCCCCTAAGTGTTTCCACTCATGGGTTATCAGGGATGATTTTTGTGTAAAGCCTTTCCCACAGTTCTTGCACAGGAAAGGCTTCTTCCCTGAGTGTTTCCACTGGTGGGCGATAAGGGATGATTTTTGGATAAAGCCTTGCCCACACTGCTTGCACACAAAGGGCTTCTCACCTGAGTGTGTCTTCAGATGTCTTAGGAGATTTGACTTTAAGCTAAAATTTCGCCCACAATATCTGCAAACAAAAGGCTTTGCCCCTGACTGTGTCTTCTGATGGCTTAGGAGACTGGTCTTCCACCTAAAACTTTGTCCACAATACCTGCACACAAAAGGCTTCTCCCCTGAGTGTGTCCTCAGGTGGGAGATCAGGCATGACTTTTGGGTAAAGCCTTGCCCACACTCCTTGCACACAAAAGGCTTCTCTCCTGAGTGTTTCCGCTGGTGGGAGATTAGGTATGATTTTTGGGTAAAGCCTTGCCCACACTCCTTGCACACAAAAGGCTTCTCCCCTGAGTGTGTCCTCTGATGGATTATCAGAGATGATTTCTGGGTAAACCTTTGTCCACACTCCTTGCACACAAAAGGCTTCTGGCCTGAGTGTTTCCACTGGTGGGAGATCAGGGCTGATTTTCGAGTAAAGCCTTTCCCACACTCCTTACACACAAAAGGCTTTTTGCTAGAGTGTGACCTCCTATATATTATGAGGTTTGACTTATTAAAGTCTGGCCCACCCTCCCTGCACATGTAAGGATTCTCTCCTGGGTGTGTTTTGTGGTGCAAGAACAGTGCTGACTTATCAATAAAGTCCTGTCCACACTCCCTGCATGTTAAAAGATTCTGTCCAAAATGTGCTTTTCTGTGTTCAAGTAGCTTTGTCTTCTGGCTAAAGCCTTGCCCACATTCTGCACATGTGATCACTTCCCATACTGAATTTTCTCTTCCTTTCAATACTTCACCTGTTTCTTTAGGATTTCCCCTCTGGGCTTGGCTGCTCTCTATTTCCACCACTGTGTTCTTTTGCCCCAGACTTATTGCCTGTGTGGGCTGCGGGTCAGAAGATGCTCCTGAGGTCTGACACCTCCTCAAGAAGGCCTGGAAGTTTTCTTCTCTCTCTTGACCTTCTGCTGTATTACCCTGGTCGCTCTGATGGGAAAGTTCTTCCTGCTCTTGTTCCTGGTGCTCCAGGCCAGGACTCCTTCGCTGTGGGTAATTTGTTGCACAAACACCTGGAGACATGTGAGCAGAATGGTTGTGAATCATGTGCCGGATGAGGATGTGCTGATTGCAGGCCAGGGGGAAGCAGGGAGAGAGACGCATTTCTGGCTTTGCTTCTGCTGGAGAGAAAAAGTGCCCCATTAGGACTGTCACAGGTTAGGCAGCCTGGGCCACCACACAACACAAATGCCACCACCTCCCACAAGGGTTACCCTCCCAGGCCCTGCTCTTCCATCTAGTTGGAAGCTTCTATCTTCTCTTGGAGAGAATGTGCACAGTACCAAAGGATTTCCTCCAGTCTTTTCAAATTACTGCTACTGCATCATCAAAATTGTAAATCCTACTGAGCCTTAGAAGGGAAACCTTGCTGTATGTGACAACACGGATGGACCCTGAGGACATCATGCTGAGTCA